GTATTTTTCTATGTTATGTTCATGTTTATGTTCATAAACTTTTTATTTAATAAAATATGTTTTCATAGTTTGTGTTGTCCCTTATTATCAATGCAAAATGGTCACTAACTAAAGAGGATTTATGCTGATATTGCCCAAAAACCCTATTTTGTTCAGGCGTTTCCAAACTTTTGGAGGGCAGTGTATATATATATATTTTGTATGAGGACATGGCCAGCACACTTCTTCAGTTGTTCTATCTAAAAATGTGTCTAAATGCTATCACTACCCTGCATTCCTGTCAGGAAACAGCCGGCTATACATAGCATACTGTCTTGTAGCTAACATTTCCTTTTTCTGTATTGATTAACAGTTAAAATCACGTTAGTAGTTTTCCAGAAGTTGATTTATATCCTGTCAAGTTAGTATATATTACCCATGTAGCTACCATCAGAAGTTAATATTACAGCTGTTAATGAACATGACTAAAATATCCTGTCAGAAATTACGTCAGGTTACCACATTTTAACTAGCATTGGCAGTAAAGATGATAAACATCCTCTTGTGTTTGCGACCTTGGCAAAAAGCCAACAAGTTGTTTGCTAATGTTTCAGCCACAAGTGGTGGTGTTGTCTCCTCGCATCGCAAGTAATAATATTTATGTCTGGCTAGCATCTTTATTTTCTCCCAACATGTTTAACTGTGAGGTTGTTAGCAGGAGAGTTATATGATAGCCTTGCAATATACTTTATTTTACTAAGTTTCATCAGTGTTTTCCTATACACGTGTTCTTTATTCTGAAAAGATCACCTCTCAACCGTGGATGCTAATTAACCCTCCTAGTAAAAAAATCATTCTACCATCAGGCATATCACGCCTTGGCTGATGTGTGTAGTTCAGCAGGAATTCGAAGTTTGTGCTATAATAACAACATCAAGTTGTGTCACACCACCATGCATTGTAAATTAATGTTTAAACATGTACGCTTTTTGTTTTTTTGAGTTTATTTTCTTTCTCTGGTTGTTGAATCTACTTGTCTGCTGAGCAACTACAAATAAAAACAAACAGCCCGAACATGAAATCCACCGCGATTTCTATCTGATCTTTCGATAGAAATTGCAGCTATTAGGCACATGGTATTTTCTCACCCTTTAAATGAAAAACAGAAGGGGTGTGCAAATACATTGATGGTGGTTGTTATGGCCTTAAGTTTACATGAAGTCATATTTTGAGAATCTGAGATTTGTAAGAATCATCACAAATGTCCCTAAAGGTCCAAAATTATTAAAAAGAAAGTTAATTACAAGCACTGGATTAGCACAGCCAATCTAAGTGTTATTTAATAGTATGATATTTTTAATACAACATCATGATAGCCCCATAAACAATCTTGTGTCCTAAT